AGTGAGCTTACACAACCCAGACAGTAGTAGCATCTCCTGCATCCCTGGACAGCGTGGTCCAGCCTATACCTCCTATCAACCTGAGCAAAATGACTCAAACTCGAAGTAAAACAAAAAATGATGTGATGGGGAAACAATGGTGAGGCTGGTGTTGTGGCACAATGGGTTCTCCTGGGATGCTGCTGTCCTGTAACAGAGTGCAGGTTCAAGTTCTGCTGCTCTGTGTCTGATCTAGCTCCATGCCGATGTGTCTCTGAAAGTGGGCCCATGTGGACATTCACATGGAGTTCTGGCTCCAAACTTCAGCTTGGCCCAACCCTTTTGGGTGGTGAACCAGTGGATTGAAGATTTCTCTCTCTTTCTCTAATACTTGCTGTATTGCTCTGCCTTCCAGCGAATGAAATAGATATTTAAAAGAGAGAGAGAGAGACCAGGGTCAGTACCGCATGAATGAGGCTGCTGTTGCCACAGCTGAGTGCTGTATAATGAACTTTTTTCAAAAAGAATTTGTTTATCTATTGTAAATATTTGAAAGGCAATGTAGCAGGAACAGGAGGTTGAGGGAAAGAAAGTGGGAGAGAGGGATATACAGAGGGAAGCAGAGAGAAAAAGGGAGGGAAGGAGGAAAGGAGAGAAGGAAGAGTAGAAGAGAGAAAAAGAGAAGAGAATGCTAGCTTCCTACCATTAGTTCACTGCCCAAATGACCTCAATGACTGGCTCAGGCCACAGCCAGGAGCCTGGTACTCCATCCAAGTTTCCCACATAAGTGGCAGGAATCCAAGTAATTGGGCCATCTTCAGCTGGCTTAGCAGGGAACTAGGTTGGTAGCCAAACACTTGAGACTTGTGCTACAAGGCAAGTTCCACACTTAGTTTAAAAGTCGAGGTACGTTAAAAAAAATATTTTATTTATTGACAGGGAGAAGTCCACACCAGATAAAGACTCTCAGCCTCAGAGAGGTGAACGGGAAGAGAGGCCAGTGGCTGACCGCAGGTGAGACCTGCCGCTCCGCAGTGTGCTCCTCCTGTTGAGTCCCTGTCCTCCACTCGGGTCCTGGCGCACACATCACAACAGAGTCTCCTCTTGACCCCAAGTCAAAGGCGGTGTCTCTTAAAGTGTGGTCCCTAGGAGCTTAGCATTAGCCCCCACAAGTACGTGAAAAAATTATGGAAAAAAATCAAACCAAACATTGAGATCATTGCATATTTTCTTTCTCATAATATTCATTTTGAATTCCCTTTGTGTGGTATTTTTTAGGAAATTATACCAACCTGACATATAGCATTTGATCTGGATGCATAAACGTTATCTGTCTACCAAGAGACTTTTCAGCTTTGCATAGCTGTCACGTGCTTTCTCTCTTCTTGCCTGTTTTCATCTCCATCAGGCCCCTATTCATCCATACACAGCTGAGTCTTTAGTCTCCTTTATAATCATGAACACACATACCTCCGTACATGAGCATGAGTAACCAGTGTTTCTCTATTCTTAAAATAGAATCATGCCTTCTTTTTCATGTCTTGCTTTCCTCACTCAACAAAATCTAACAAAATACTTCATATTAATGAGATTCAGTTCTGGTTTATACTTGTAAATGGTTGCATTTGACTTTTGCAGTGTCCTGATCATAACTTATTTCATTATTTTCCACTAATGGACATGCTGTGCTTCTAGATTTCTGCTGCTGTGAACAGCGTGATAGTTAACACCCTTGCATGTCATCTTTTGTGCTTTATTTCTAGTGGATAGATTTTATTCCTAGGAGAGAGAAGTGCATAGTTGTTTGCTGTAAAAACACACAATGCTAGTACATTTATAGGGTTGTATGTATTTTCATTTTTAATAACTGTTGCTTGCTTGTCCAAATGAGACAATATTTATTTTGACACTAATTTATATATGGAAGCTTTTCTCCTTACAACTCATTGTCATTCTAAAAATGTATAGTTGTAGGAAAGTGTAATTAGATACATAAATTCATATTGACTGTGAAATGTCCTTTACTTCACAACATGCCAATCTGTTCAAGAATATAGCTCTGCACCATCTAAGTTTGACTAATATCACACATCACAAGCAAATAAATGTTGCACTGTGAGGTGCCAACAGAGCATAAGCAAGGAAATGGAGGAAAACACCCAACAAAACAAGAAGAGACTGTCTTCAGTGCGAGTGCCACTAAATATTTCGCATTTAATAGGTAGGTAGATAGATACAGAAAAACAAACCAAAGCAAAACACAAATAAATGAACAAAACAAAACAAAAAAACCCTCCAGTCTTCATCTTGCCAGGAGCCAAATCTGATACCTTCAGTTTTCTTGTGATGTTAAACATGCAAGACCAGTTAAGGTCAAAGAATGTACTCTGGAAACAATAGCCATTCCCTTCATTTTTAAATAATGATGCAGAGGAGGGGCAAATGAGATAGGAGCTTGCTCGTGTCATCCCTTGAACCAACCCTTCCTTAATGCGCACATCTCCCAAAGGCTCATCAACCCAACAAGATATAGTTTCCTTGTGACCAGCTCAAAGTGTCATTTGTAGTTGTTGGAATATGGCCAGTTTCAGTACAGAAAGTTCAAGGAATACAAGAAGAGTAGAGGACACAAGAGCTGGGCAAGATCTGTAAATGAAAGAAGAAAAAGCAGTTTAATTATGGAAGAAAAGACACTCATAGGATGGTTGGCCCAGGCAGAGTTGCTGTGGAAGCACATTCCAGGAAAATCTTAAGAGATTACTTGAATAATAAACCATGCATTCTTTAGCAAGCCATCACGGGATTAACTACCCCTTTCCTAGGCCGGGAGCACAGGCGTTCCTTTGACGTATTTCTTTGCTTCACCCTCATAGGCAGGTTTATGCAAGGGACAGTTGTCATAAAGGGTCCATAATTTTTCAAATATCGCATTGAATTTCCCATACTTCAGATTTGCCAAACATACATTTTAGTGGTGATTTAAAAAAAAAAGAAAGAAAGAAAGAAAGAAAAAGGTCGTGATCTAGGCCAAGGTGAAAATCTGGATAGATGGGTGTGATTCTTCAGTAGGATACAAGGCTGTTTCTTGTAGACCTACAGAAGAGCAAAGAGTTCAGCCTTGACAGGACAACTATTTCATGGGATGAAAGAGTTAAATTCATTTTCAGTCCTGTTTTTTTTTTTTCCTTTAATGTGAGCAGGACATTGAATTACTGCCAGAAGCAATATCAGCACCCCAAAGGTGTAAAAATACACTTCCAACCAGAATTCTCTTCTGTCAACTCTCTGGAGAGGTGCCTGTTTTAAACCTTTAAGAGGGAGCGCAGCGCTCACGAATGAACTGCTTGCACCAAGGACCATTCTTGCAACTACAGCTCATGGCAGACAGAATCAGCTGCCCGCCCTGGCTTCTGGAACAAATCCCTCCCATGTGCTGGGCAAGTCTGAGTGTCAGGGAAACATCGTATAGAATCTTCCAGAGTAACAGCACCAGCTTGAATGGGCCCTCCTAAGTTGACAAGATACCACAGAGCCAGGTACCAAAAGACACATTTCTGTCGAGTCGCCTCAGATCAGTTATTCTTGTTCCACTTGCTGAACATTTTTTAGGGGTGACACTGTCCCTGCTGGACCTCCAGATTTTAGAAGCCAAGACCATCACCCTCAGAGGCACCAGAATTCAACTTCTCTGCCCAAAGACCACTCCAACACTAGCTTTTTTTTTATGCCTCTTGTCACTCTCATGAAATCTCTCTTTTTAAAAAAATAATAGATTACCCCAGGGCAATATTAAAAGCCACCATCGCCCCTGGGTGTGGGCGGACAAACCTGACAGAAACTCTACAAGCTGGGAGAGGTGGTGTCCTTGGCCAGCTCCAGGGCTTGGTGCACCCCCTGCACAGGGCCTGTTCCAAAGCCTGACCTAGTTGAAGGTACCCCAAATTACACAGTGGCATTGCAGCAGGGGCCAGGCATGGACCGCAAAACACAGCCTCTGAGTCCCCTAAGCCTGATTGGAAAGCGCAAATCCGTTCTGCTGCTTCCCTAGTGAAATCAGTAACTCCCTTACCATGCGAGGCACCAGTTGGCATGTTCACATTGCATGGGACACAAAATAAAGGAAGAAGTGCACCTTTCATCAAAATCACTTCATCATTGGTTAAAAAAAAAAGCAGATTTTGGGTGGATGTTTTCCAATCAGTTTTGAAAACATAAAGAAAACTTAAGTTCGTGATTGGTCACTGAACTGATGTAGAACCATGTATGGGAATATTTCTAAATGCCTCATTTCTCCTAGCCCACGTTTCGCATTGAGAGATGGGAAGCACTATGGAAATTAGCGCAAAGGCCTATTAAACAGATGATTGTTTATGTACTGTAAAGGAATGGCATGCGATCTTTGCTTCCATCAGAAATAGAGCTCAGGGAGATGGCTTATGCTTTGTATAGATTCGTTGCACAGAGTTGCTGCTGTTCCATCCCTCTGTGCAGGGTGGCATTGCATACATAAATACGCCGTGTTTTACAAAGGTACAGATCTCACACCGGATTAAGCGCATTCGCATGTGTGCCGAGGGGGGCTTGTTTCCTTCCCTTGGGACTGTATCCCATCCACCTCACTCCACAGCAGCCAGGCGCTCAGACCCACAGTCTGGGTCAGTGCAGCCTGCTGTGAAGGCAGCCCTTTGTTAAGTCCCCGGGTGCCACATCACCCCAAGTGGCAGTCCAAGGAACGGGTCTGGGGAATGAGACTCGGTGGGTCCCACCCCTTTCCTGCAGCGTTTCCCTTTCCTGTCCTGATGTGCACCCTTCCCGCCGCCCACCCCTCGTCACCGGGCCCCCTCCCGTCGCCGCCCAGGGCTTGGCCTTCGCCCCCGCGCTCGTGTCCCCCTTGGCGCCACCTGGCTCCCTGTGATCGCCCCCAGCTGGCGGGGCGCGCTGAGCCCAGGGAGCCCCGGTCCCCTGCGCGGCTTGTGAGTTAATAAACAGTTAAGTTTGGAAGACTCAGCAGACACGTTGAGGGGGAGTTACCAAGCCCAGGCAGCAAAAACATCCCGGCACATTCCTGGGGAGTCCTCGGCTGCCAGCATCTGATTAGAACCACATCTCTGGCCGGGAGTGGCCGAGCGGCTCCGAGGCTCTCCCGGCCCGCGGCTATTTAAGCCGGGCCCGCCGAGTCAGCTGCGCTGCCGCTGAGGGCTCTGGCCACGGACAAGTCATGCTCACTTCGTGGAGGCGCTAGCTCCTAACCTGTGAGTAGCTTCTTGAGCCGCTTTCCCTTTGGCTCCATTTTTACCACCCCCCTTCCCTCCTTTGCTCCCCTCCATTCCACTCCTGCCACTCTTCTTTTCCACCCCACAAGACCCCCACCCCCTTCTCCTTTGGGGCGCAGATCTTGGATTGCGGAGACTCTTAAGAAATGACACAGGGTGCTTGGGGAGAGGCGCGTTTGGGTGGCCTGCCATCGGTAGAATGCTTCCTTGGCATGCATTTACTTTGGGGGGGGGGTCTGATTCCAGACGCCCAGCTTGTGACATTGAATAATCGCCTCCTTTTGTGCGTGTGTGTGTGTGTGTGTGTGTATGCGCGTGTGTCGCTGCTTTAAGAACCCGCGGGCAGCCGTGGTGGAAAGGCTGTTGTGGCTGCCGACCGCCAAATTAACTCCTCGAAGGGTGTTTATTTTTGCCGTGTGACAAAGCCTAGGACTCGGTTGGTGCCCAAGAGCCAGCACACTCTTGCTGGTGACTGACAACATATGGCATGGAAATGCGCACTTGGGACTACACCGGCATTCCTCAGAAGGTGTCTGCCCAAGGAACTTAAACTTGTTTTCAATCCCCAAAGCCGGGAGCGGAGTGTAAATAGCAGCTGCCTGCCCGCAGTGAGGTGGCTGGAAAAGGAGTCAAAATACTTGGAGAGGGAGGGAACGTGAGTGGGTTAAGCAGGGAGCCCGGGTCAACACAGCGGGTTTTCATGGCATAGTGCTGACTCTGTGGCTTGTCTCTGGAGACGTTGCTTTTTGACTTCATTCCTAGCCTGGAATTCAGGTCGGTTGTTGATTTCAGCAGGGAGCTGTTGGCGTCTAAAAGGAAATATAACTGGATTAGAAACACTTAGAGAATCTGGAGGCGGTATCTCCGCCACATCCACCCCCTCAGCCACTGCTCTTTCTTTGGAGTTTTGTGTTTGAAAGAGAGGCAACTCTGTCAACCCAGAGAACAGAGACAAGCTTACAGACACGTGGAAAGACTTAAAAACCCAAAGGCGACTTCATGAATAGTCAATGTTGCTAATGACCCATAGAATGACTTCATAAAAATACTTCTGGCTCTAATCAGGCAAAAGAGGGGTGTGGGTGAGAAGGTGCTGAGACATAATTCCACCGGGGAGGAAGCGACTACAGAAAAGCCTTGGAGGTGCCTGATAAGGTTCCTGCAATGGCTTAGATGAGACGCCTAATTGATCCTTTTTACAACTGAACTTGGCTCCCCACACAGCCGCATCTGCTGGCTGGAGGGAGAGCAGGAACTAGCAGCGCAGGGGAAACCATTAGAGCTACAGAGTGACTTGCCGCTCGGCTGGCCTCTCATACCAGCAGCCTGATCCTTCGTCAGGCTGCCCTTCTCAGAGCCACCATCACTCCCCTCAATTAAGGGAACTGGGTCTCAGTAAGAATTGTAAGGAAGGCAGATTGCCTGGAGTATTCTCCAGTGCTGGAGGTCATGAGCTCTTTATCTGAGGATTTTTTTTTCTCTTTGCTGAAATGTTGGGTATGTGGAAATATATCGTGTCACATTTCCCGCACCCCATGGAGGGTGGCGAGTGGGAAGTCTCTAAGACGCAGCACCGAAGAGCTTTCCGTGGTCTTTCTAACATGCATTTCTGGGACAGGCCGCTTCTTCCAGATTCTTGACCACTTTCTTCCTAAGCCTGATTCTGGCAATATGAAACACCTGGGTAACAGGATGTGGCCCTTTAAAGTCCTATCTGTGCTTCTATGTTAATTCTGAAGTTGAAGTTGTCCAGCTGAAATGTACCGAAATCACACGGAGGTAAAATATCTTTAACATCAGCTCTGTATATTGAGAGAAGCCCAACTCATGGCAGTGTAGCCTGACAGGATCAATCCTGTGAGGCTTCCAAGTCTCCTGCTGGAGACTGTCAACAGGCAAGGTTCTGGTGAGAGACAAACCATGCCAGAGGTGGCCACAGCCCCAGGCCTCTTGCTGCCTTTCACCCAACACAGTGGGATAGCAGTGAAGCGGGGTGGGATCTGAAGTCCCATTGAGTGGGTTCAGATCCCATCACCTGAGCAGCTGGTTCTGTGACCTTGGACAGCATTGCATATTTATTGTGCGCTGCAGCTTTCTTATCTGGGGGAGTCAGAGGACCCAGCCCAAGATTGTTGTGAAGACAGTTAATCTAATACATTTAGAAACCTTTATCTGATTTGGGAGCTTTGGCTTGTCTGAGTCTTGTGTTTTTTTGTGAAAACTCAAGGCAAGAGGAGAGTTTCTTCATCCTACCTGAAAAATGCTAATCATTCAAGCACTTCAGTAATAACAAAGGCGGCATGTCTGCCTGTCTTCATGCTAGAATGGACAGGCAGCTACTGTCTGTTCCCAGTCCGCTGTTTGGCTTGGTCAGAATGACCTCCACCGGTCTCCCGAAACCTTCCCCACACTCTCTGAGACTCCCGACAGAGAAGCAGCCCCAGTTCTCCCTGAAGTCAGCATTCTAGCAGGAGGAAGTGGGAAGGGAGGGACCACCCTGACTGCCCTGAGCCATGTGGCTGGAAATAAAAACTCTTCAAAAACGCATGTGGGGCCCCACACTCTCATTACCCGCAAAGCTGGGCAGGTGGCCATGCCTAGTGCCCTTCCCGCATCCTTCTCGTACTTTCGAAGGAAGTCTGCTTCACCAGAACAGGCAGGATCTGAACAAATTGCTTCCTGGTCCAAAAATTGTAGTAACCAAATAGAACCTCTTCTCTACTCGCATTGCCCTTTTCATATTCTCCCAACATGTTTTAATCGTGATACTCAGTTTTCTAGTCCTTGATGATCTTCACATCATCTGAATACCAAAATGACCACGCAATTTCAGGAATGTAAGAAACCTGGCGGTTTTCACCTGCAGTCACAGCTTCTCCAAGCTGACTAGGGACAAGTGACCTCTGACTGCTTTCAGCTGCTGACAAGTCCGAGCAAACAAGGCTCACTGAGTTTGGAGCTGGAGGGAACTTAGCAAGGAGCTGAATGCATGAGGGCTGTGCACTTCCATTTTTACGGAAATACAGAACCCAGGGAAGAGGTGAAATAGAAGGTGACAATCCCACAACAGTGAGTTTTGAAACTCTGTTCAATTTGAAAAAAAAAAAAAATTGGTGATGGATACTATGTAGGGTTAATACTTTCTCTTGGCAATAATGCCTTGTTTCTTCCTAGCACTCTGATGCAGACTGTTACTAAGAAACAGAGTTATGGTTCTGTGTGACAGGTGTCTGCTTCATACAGGTTTGCATTGGACCAATTCAGCCTTTCAAAACTGGGCACTGGCTAATTTGCTGTGTCTTTCACAGCTGGCAAGAAATCAAGGCGGACAATGGTTCTCAAAGTGCTGTCCAAAAGAGCAGCACATGGTATCACTTGTGCTGTCTTCCTCCCCACCCTATCCCAGGTCTTGTACCCAACTTGAGCAGGAGGGCCTATACATCTGCATTTCAACACGCCCTTCACATGACCCATGAGAAGCTTTTGCAGTTCAGCTGTTTTTTGACTCAGTTGTTCAATGGAAAGCATAATCAAGTATTTTTTAAATTAACATTTAATTTGTTTCTATTTGAGTTGCTGAAAGGAGAGACACAGAGGTCTTCTATCTGCTGGTTCACTCCCTAGATGGCCAAAATGGTCAGAGCTGAGCATATCCGAAAGCAGGATCCAGAAGCTTCTTCTGGGTCTTTCACCTGAGTGCAGTCATGGTCCCGTGGACTTGACCCATTCTCTGCTGTTTTCCCAGTCCATAGGCTGGGAGCTGGATAGGAAGTGGAGTGGCTAGGACATGAATGGGGCCCGTGTGGGATGCCAGCACCACGGGTGGAAGTTTAGCTTCCTGTGCCTCCGTGTCTGCTTGCTAATCAGGTATTTTAATTCTTGTAATCATGATAACCATAAGGCAAAAGTATTGAAAGGCATTTCAGTGACAGATGCATAGACCTAGGACATCTTCCCTGTATTTTGTGTACTTCTTTTTGAAGATTTATTTATTTTTACTGCAAAGTCAGATAAACAAAGAGGAGAAACAGACAGGAAGATCTTCCATCTGATGATTCACTCCCCAAGTGAGCGCAACAGCTGGTGCTGTGCAGATCCAAAGCCAGGAGCCAGGAACTTCCTCCAAGTCTCCCACACAGGTACAGGGTCCCAAGGCCTTGGGCAGTCCTCGACTGCTTTCCCAGGCCACAAGCAGGGAGCTGGATGGGAAGTGGGCTACAAGGATTAGAACTGGTGCCCATATGGGATTCCAGTGTGTTTAAGGCAAGGACTTTAGCCTCTAGGTCAGCACACCAGGCCTGAGTATTGCTTTCTTGATCCCAGGAAAAAGCAGTGTACTCTGTCCTTGTGTCTTATCATCTCTCTTCTAAATCCGTTTCCCCCTACTGGGGTTTTACAGAGTATAAGTAATCTCCATTTATTAGGAGACAATCCTAGTTACTTTAAAAACAAAGATTCTAGTAAAAACTGATCATTACTGAGCCAGATGGTTCCCTCTAACCTATAAAGCTTTTTAATTTTGTTTTTCATGTTGTGTTCAAAAGTACAGATGAAGGCCTTTCTGTAAATTAATCTATTGCATTTAGCTTTTATTGAGCTTTATGTCTTATGGAACACTGTTCTATGCTCCCATTTGACTTTCATGTTAATTGACTTGTGATAGAAAAGATATCCATTTACTACTTCTAATAAGATCAGTAGTCATCAGCTTGCTCAAGGTCATAAAGTGGTAGAGCGAGATTCATGCATGAGGCTTTATGATTTGATCCTGATGTTTATCTGAATGTGTACTAAGTGCCTAAATGTAAAGAATGGTGCTAAATGGCCAATGGAAAAAAACACTCAGTAAGTTCAAATCTATTCAAAAGTTCACATCATGTGAGGCAAGAACTTAAGAATGTAGGCTTCAACTGACCTGTGTTGGAAAGGTGACTCTGCCATATCTCAGGCATGTTATTCAATGTCTCTCATCCTTAGTT